CTTAGTTTTGTCTCTCATTCTAAACATTCTTAGTTTTGTCTCTCATTCTAAACATTCTTAGTTTGTCTCTCATTCTAAACATTCTTAGTTTTGTCTCTCATTCTAAACATTCTTAGTTTGTCTCTCATTCTAAACATTCTTAGTTTTGTCTCTCATTCTAAACATTCTTAGTTTGTCTCTCATTCTAAACATTCTTAGTTTTGTCTCATTCTAAACAAATTTATATTTTTGTCTCTCATTCTAAACATTCTTACTTTTGTCTCTCATTCTAAAATTCTTAGTTTGTCTCTCATTCTAAACATTCTTAGTTTGTCTCTCATTCTAAACATTCTTAGTTTTGTCTCATTCTAAACATTCTTATTTTTGTCTTTCATTCTGAAAATTCATCTTATTTTTCATTTCTTAGTTTATTGCCTAATAACTAGACTGTCACTTAAAAAGGCAAAGACTTCAAAATACAGGGAGCATGGAGAACCTAGAGCAAGGACAATGAAATGACATGGAGAAAATAGAGACACAAATGGGAGAGGGATGGGAGAGAGTGTTGGAGCAGGATGGTAGGAGTCAAAGATAGTACCAGAGCCCACGATTTCTCTTCCGGGCTCTGCTCTGAAGTTGATGGAAGCAACCAGTAACGGTTTGGCCGACATATTCAATGCAGAGAATTTCTAAGTGGAGTGCTGCCCTCAGCTTCTGCTACAAAGTTGATGCAATCAGTTCATAATACAGCTGGCACTGCTACAAAGACGGGATTAGAAGGAAGTACGTACAACACAAACACAAAACTTTTGTTTTAATTGTATAGAAAAATAATAAACTTTTAGTCAGTGATGAGTTATATCAGCTGATAGTAAAAAATGAAGTGTCACAGTTTGTTTATGATGAATGTTTGGAAGTTATAAGAACCAGAAATACGAGGAAAGCATTTGACAGAAGCTCAGATTACGATAACAAAATTGAAGAATGTACTGAGGAGGACGTATATACAAAGAAAGACCATAAAAATAATGTAAGAACTGAAAGTTTGTTTGTTTGTTTTGAAGTTATGCACAAAGCTACACAATGGGCTATCTGTGCTCTGCCAACCAAGGGTATGGAAACCCAGTTTCTAGCATTGTAAGTCTGTAAACATACTGCTGTGCCACTGGGGGTGCAAAACTGAAAATAATGAGCTTTGTATCGAGACCAAAATCAGATCTTTAGCTTCAAATACAAAAAGCACTTTCACGACCTCCATGGGTCAAATTCTGTGATCAATAAATTCTAAACTGTGTGCAACAGTTTCTTGTTATGACAATAAAGATAGCTTCTCTTAAGTATATAATGCAATATTCAAAATTCAGAAATTTTGTAATATCTAATTTTGATATCATAATAAATGCGAAGGAATAACTGTTGATTGACTTGAACCTCTAAGTCACTCGTTCATACCTATGAATGAAAATATTTTTCTTTCCTCAACAGAATCTATACCAATTATCTTACAAAGAGACACTGCTGATAGTAGGTTTTAAAATTTTAATGGACTCCAACTGCCTATTGAAAGAAAGATCATAGAGACAACGAAGACTTGAGACTCAGTATAGAAGCCGAAACGACGTCTCCTTTCAACAGACAGTTGTAGTCCATTACAGTTTTAAAACTCTACTCTGCTTCAAGTTTACTGAACAGTCAATGTATTATATTAACTGGTGAGTTGGTCGTTCGTTCGATGTTCTAGTTAAAGATCCACGAGAAAGAACTCAACTTTAAACACTTCCATGTATTACTGTAGACATTAACAAACTAAGAAAGTCACCAAGTCGATAAATCATTATTTCGAAGCATTAATAATAATAGTGTCACTTCCAAGCCATGACTGTTTTTTTTTTTTACCTGTGTAGATCAGCAGGCAGGGACTGTCTTTTAAATTCAAACGTCTAAACGCCATTAACACTTGAATTTATTGGTTTTTCTCATCGTGTTTTCGCTGTGTCTAATTTATAAAAAAATAAATCTTATATGGCGATCTGTATCTTGAGGATAATAGAAGATTATTTATAATAAATGTTTGGTTTCAACACACACACACACCTTATCATCACCATCATTTGTTTTCTTAATGTTTTCGCCATGGTGTCTGGCTGTAAATCAACGGCGAAAGTATGAAAGTGACTTCACACCGATAGATGCTAATACCTCACGTGACATCGCGTATTTAGTGACGTCATATTTCTTCTCGATTACACATTAATTATGTGGTTGTTTATTTAGTGCAAAGCTGCACAATGTGTTATCCGCACACTTTCCACCGCAGGGAATCGAACCCCAGATTTTAATATTGTAAGTCTGGAAATTTACTGCTGACCCATCGGGTGGGATGATGGGTGGGGGAGGCAAATATTATCCTTTAATAGAAAGCAACAGTTTTAAATTCACCTTTTTCACGATTATTGTGTAAGCCTATTGTCGTGCTGTCATTAGTGGTAAACAAAAACGGAATGACTTATTTCGACATACACTTGCCAACTTTATCAGTTCCAGTCATTTTTCCGGTATTTAACTGAAGCAGAAAAAAAAATGCTGCTATTTCAAATTGGTCGCATTGCTCTCTTTTTTTTCTCTTTAAAATACAATGCTTGCAGTTTTAAAAATGACGTAGTGCGCATAAATGAGCGCAGTTTTAGATTCTTAACAAAAGTAAGTTCAGTTCAGATGTAAACAAGTACATTTGTCTAGGAATCTGTTAAATGAACGACGTAGAGTTAGATTTATAGATCAATAAAATGTAATCCAGTCTCAAGAGAATTGACCAGCTTCATTTTAATACACGCTTGCGCCATCTTTCGGAAACTTTTCAAGAACCATGTTCCGAATAAAGAATTTAATGAATACTGTGACGTCATTAAAGGTACTGGAGCAGAAACCAGTCAAGACAAACTAATTTTTAGAAAATTATCAACTGTCTTGACTAATTTATATATTATGTTAAATCATTTCTCTGCGGTTTGAATAGCTTTCTTTCCAATGATAAAAAAAAACATACTGTTTAATACATCCCAACGTGAATAAAATCGCTCTGTTGATGCAGGATCCAAAGTATAAACGTGGTTCGGTTATTTTGATAATCCTGTCACACACACCATCCTACTTCGACTCACAAAAAGACGAACAATCTCACCATGCAGCTCTCACCAAAAACCGTTGATCTGACACTTCAGTGAAAGACATCGTGTCTTATCACACATGTTTGTATACATACATAGTTAGTGGTCCAGCTGAACATTAGAGAATATGGCTACGTAAAACACGCGGTCTCGTTCAGCCTAAAAAAATAGTGCTACGTACAACACGTGGTCTCGTTCAGCCTAAAAAAATAGTGCTACATAAAACACGTGGTCTCGTTCAGCCTAAAAAAATAGTGCAACATAAAACACGTGGTCTCGTTCAGCCTCACCACAATATTGCTTTGTGAAACCCAGGATCTTGTTCATTTAGCTTCATAAGATACCGCAAGGTTAAACACACGGCCTTAACAAACCTTGGCGTATGTAGAAACCACACTACTTGAAAAACATACAGAAACCGTATCACACATTCACTCGGGTACATCCACACATACAGAAACCGTATCACAGTTCACTCGGGTACATCCACACATACAGAAACCGTATCACAGTTCACTAGGGTACATCCACACATACAGAAACCGTATCACAGTTCACTCGGGTACATCCACACAAACAGAAACCGTATCATAGTTCACTCGGGTACATACACACATACAGAAACCGTATCACAGTTCACTCGGGTACATCCACACATACAGAAACCGTATCATAGTTCACTAG